CGAAAAACCAAATACCAACCCACCACAGTATATATGTAAAAAATATAATTACATTTCATTTGTTTGTTATTTTTAAGCATTTCACCCCAAGCAAGGCGGGGATGCCACTAGTACGCATGGAGTTACAGAGGTTGTAAGTAAGGGAAAAGACTGGGTATAGGTGGGGGGGGGACTGCGGAAAGGATAAAAAGAAGAACGGAAATCAAGGCAACAGAAGATGACAATTGACGTTACATTTAAATTTTTGAAGATTGTAGTTATCAGGGAAGCAGATAAGAGGAAGGGAGTTCGACTGTCGGGAAGTGCGAGAGAAGTAGCTATTGGAGTAGAAGTGGTAGTTATATTTAACTATTTCAACAGTAAAGGAGTGTGACCTAGATGCCAAACTAGTAGCACGTTTAAATTCATGTAGTCGAGGCAACGGGGAAAATAGCTCGTCAGAGCAGTTGCCATGAAAATATTTATAGAAAAGACTGTGGGAAGACACATCACGTCTGTGAGAATGTGACTTGAGTCGAGATCCTTATTTGGATTTTGTCGAGAACCTCCAAATGGACAGCAGGGACTCCATATCATATATGGCACTAGTATTCAATGTATAGACAAATGTTTTTTTTTTTATGTATTTATCATCTCACACGTATCTATTTTTCTATAATTCTATTTATTATTCTATCATTCTATCTATCATTCTCCCCTCCGTTCTATTTATCATTCTGTCATTTTATGTCTATTTATTCTATCTACCATTCTATTTATTATTGCATCTATCATTCTATTTTTCTATCATTCTATCTACCATTCTATTTATCATTCCATCTAACTATTTTTCTATGGTTCATTCTATTTATCATTTTGTCTATCATTCTATCTTATTGTACTATCTATAATTCTATTTATCATTCTACCTATCATTCCATTTATAAATGTGTGTGTACGACAGAGTGTGACTGTACGCCATTCTTTTCTTGGTTTATTTTACTGTTTGCGTTTATAGACCTTGTTATTGTTTTTAATATTTGGTTACTTTTTTTTTTTTTTTGCTTTGTTTGGTTTTGTTGTTTTTATTCTCATTTCCGATGGTAACACCTGTCTTAGACATTGACGTCATCGGCTGATGCAAATATTTCATTCTATTTTTTTGTTTGTTTGTTGTTTTTCTTTTTTTTTGGGGTTTTTTTTTTTTTTTTGGTTTTTGCTTTATGTTTTTTTTTAATCTACACGCGACTTCATTAAAAATCAACTGCTAGCGGTCATTTTCCTCGCTTCGACATCCGCGTCCTCGCCGGCGGGAAATTTCAATTGACTTCTGCAATGTTTCTTGTCAATAGCCACGCACTTTGGATACTGAAGATTTTGCAAAACCCTAATATAATTTTGTTCCTAATTTACCTTTTTTATTATTTTTTCCTTTATTTTTATAGATTCACATATACAACGACAGTTCTACCATACTGAACTATGACTCGATCTTAACGAATATTTCACTAGAGTGACCTTGTGCCAGAATCCATTATATATATATATATATATATATATATATATATATCATAAACAATAAAATCCCAAATCACCTCATATGGGGAAATAGCCTATTTTGGCAGACAATGATATCGGTCGTCTGTCTTATGAACTCCAGTGTGGACCGAGTGCGTGTCAGAAACAGAAATTTAACAGTGAAATCTAAAAAAAGAAAAACAGTCGAAAAACTAATACAGATTTTATCCATTTCAATGTTTCAGTCAGACGAAAGGCACAAGACAGGGGTCAGAGGATAGTGGAAGATATTTGTCTTAAAAGAAGAACTTTTATTAAATTAAACCCGAATATTAACCTTATGTCATTAATTTGGGGTTATATGAAAAATGAAATATTAATTTAAAAATTAAAAGAGGAATAAAAAAGGAGTTTATATATATATATATATATATATATATATATATATATATATATATATATATATATATATAAGTAAAAGGTTTGTCACTTTTGCTGATTGATGTTACCTTTAGCATTCCGACTCAGAGTTTCGTAGACAGACCCTCCGAGAATCACTCCGTCTACTCGTCAGGAGTATCTGCAGTTGACTGCTTATACTTCTCGATTTTTCTTTTTTATATGCTCTTTTCACTGGTGCAATTTTTTTGTCATAGTGTATGAGTGTGCATGTGCCCATGCACTCGTCAGCGCGTATGTGCGTACGTGTAGAATGTTGTGGTTATTTGTCCTTTTCGTTTTGTTTTGTTTTTTTCGGGGGGGGTCACTTTAAGAAACTAATAACTGTGGTCAGTCGGGTTTACGTCAGATTATGAAAATATAATATAAATGCTCTGCCATTTTGGCACTAATGTAGCTCTTTAGTATAGGTATTACTTTAGGGGTCAATTATCGTGTATGTTAATTAATACACTCAAACTCACATACACACACACACATATAATATATGTGTATAATGTATATATAATAATAGAAAGAAAGAAAGAAAGAAAGAAAGAAAGAAAGAAAGAAAGACTATCATTTGGTTTAACTCCTCTTTAACTTCGAGGTAAAATGTAAAATAGGGAAATTATTTTTCAACTTACTTATTAAACACGTCACCAAAAATTCAGAATTACATAAAATATTCAATAAAAACACAGATAAATTAAGCTACAGCTGCACTAATAATTTAAGAACAATAATAAATAGACAAAACATCAGAAATTTCAAAACTAACGCGCAGCAAAATGTAGTTAACACTAGCAATTTATGCAACTGCAGAAATAAGAATAGATGTCCATTAGATGGAGCTTGTAAAACTGAAGCAATAATCTATAAAGCAGAAGTAACAGATATTAATGGCCAGAATAAAACGTATATAGGATGTACTGAAAGTTCTTTCAAACGCAAATAGTCTAATCATAGGTCATCATTCAAGCTAGTAAGTCTTAGGTGTTCTAACAAACTTGCTGACCATGTGTGGAATTTAAAAGAAAAATACAACAGGGATCCGATTGTAAGGTGGAAAACTTTAAAAAAAAAAAAAAAGGGCGATTCCTTATAATAACTACAACAATATTTGCAACCTCAGCTAACAAGAATAATTAGCAATAATGACATTTCTGGGTCCAAATAACCTTTTGAACCAGAAATCCGAAGTCTTAAATCCTTGCATACATATTAAGAAATTCCTCTTAAGCACGTATGTGACTGGATAAAAAATTTTTAAAAAGAATGTGCATTTCGATTACTCCCTCCACCGACACTTTTCTTCTTCACATTCTCCTCCTCCCTTTATATTACAGTTACACCCAACTTCATGTGTTTGTTTATTTTTTTAAATAATATCGCGTTCATTTTCTTCTTTTTTTTTTTCTTTTTTTTTAAATAAAGCGTCACGAGGTCATTTGATAAAAATCGAGTGAGAATACCGTAAGATTCTACGAGTGACTTCTGAAAGGTTCTCGAACGAACAGTTTTCCAAAATTTTGATCACATGACCAAACGTCAAAATTTAATTTGGAATATATTCTTGGACGGACCAAGAACGTTTCAGTAAATATTTATTTTTCAGGGATTCAAAGGTAAAAAAAAAAACATTGTTGGGTTAAAATCAAGGCACTGTGTAACTGATGGTATCCTAAAAAAAAAAAAACTGTATATTAGAATATGTGTATGCATAAGAAAGAGAGATGAGGTGTACATACAGACAAACAGCCAGACAGACCGACTGAGTGCAAATATCAACTAAAGCATTCCTGTACATATTCTTAGTTAACTCTCTGAAAAAATGAATTCTGGTCGAAATTCTGCTGTCGTTCAAATGCTGTTCAAAATATCTACTTAAGTATGGACGTATATTTGCTTCTATCTGCACAAATAATTAAAAGATTTTTTTATCCGACATTATTTCTTATTACTATAAAAGCCGAAAGGTCATGAGGCTGGCATTCTGTGTCATAACTATGTAAGTAGTTGCTGGACGACGAACCCGTCTTGGCTAGGTGTCCAGGTCAGTAGATCATTCGCAAGTTCTTGTTTTGCTCACCAGCAGTGACCTCGAAAGCGCATGCTGTGTTCGCGTAAGATTGTAAAAATATCAAGGACGGATTTATAGGGCTGTGATTTAGTTGAATGCTGTTTCAACACCTTGATGTTGGATCGTGATAGTTGGCGTGATAGACTCATGAATGACAGAGCTATAACTCGACCAGATAATAACTATAAATGTTATTTTTAGGGGGGTACACGTGTTTGAGTTGCTATCCATGTTTTTTTTTCTATTGTCTTTAACAGCCAAAGAAATAACAACCGGCCTAGATTAAAAAGCCTCACTAAAGACTTAAAAAAATTGGCTTTGCTAGGAAACGAACCTACATCCTTTTTTCGTCAGGGAAACTTCTTTTTAATCCAATACTTGGCCACAGAGCAAGGTTTAAATTACCTATATAAGGAATGCATAATTTTTCTATTTGGAAGCTCTAAGAAACTATATCTGCTAACTTCAGTTTCCTACCTGAAACGTAAACAACAGTAATTTTTTAAATAATTTTTTATCCGACTATACTATAAAGAAACAATCATATGGTTCTACAGTAATGTTGAAAATACCATTTTTTGAACATATGAGCTACGAAGTTTTAGAGAAAATGGACACATAAACTTATAAAAAAAAGGGGTAGTTGAAATTTCTAGAGCACATAAGGAGGAAAGTGGGCTTGGAAATTTGACACTCACAGAACATGCAGATGGCGAGAGGAACAGAAGAAAGCGGGGCTTAACCTACCTAACGAAATGGTTGGCAGAACAGGGTTTAGGGGAGATAACCAAAAGATAAAATTTACTAAGAGCTACAATGGACAGGAAGTTATGGAGGAACACGGCCCAAATAGATATGAGCAGACTTACTCATAATCTACAATGCTTATGTACATAAAACAATCTCATTTAGTAACCCTCAACTTTGAGTAACTCTTGAGCCTTGCATTGGGTGAATAATATCGTAAAAAAGATGAATATACTCAACTTAAACAGATAGATAGATAGATAGATAGATAGATAGATAGATAGATAGATAGATAGATAGATGTGACAGAGTGAGAGAGAGAGTCTGGGAAACACACACACACACGTATATATTTTTTAGTGAAATTAGGGTAGATTTGAATAGCGAAATTAAATCAGAGCATTTTGTTTACTGATGGGGAAATCTGATCTAGGGCAGAAGTTGTACCCATTGAATCTGGGTCATCAGGAGACAATGGAAATGGTAGAAATAATTGTTATCGATTAAAAATTGAAATAGAGGCTGAGTAAGCTAGAAGGAACTTTGGAATTCACATGATTTTGGTTGAAGCAGCCAGAACCCCGTGATAATCGCGTGCGAAGTAGTAGGGCCGAGGGTCAGTTATAATCAGCCGGGTTTATCTATATAAACGCGTAGTTATGCTGAAAAAGACAGACGGGAGAAAATTCTTGAAGAGAGAAGAGAGAATTGGCCCGGGCGAGCGTTGGGAGGAGGAATGCCACTATAACTTTAAGCCACGCACACAAATCTTTAACCCTCCATTGCAAGAGTCATATCATTCTGAGACGATTTAGCAACAAGATAATCACATATACTCTCTCTCTCTCTCTCTCTCTCTCTCTCTCTCAAATCCCGTGTATGAGTTTTTGTTTTTTGTTGTTTTTCTTTTTTACTTCTCTATTTTTTTCTGCTATATAAAAGACATTACCAATTCAACCATTGAATCGATGTTTGTCCGGCTTTCTGCAGATATTAATTTTTTTTTTTTTTTTTGCTGCATTCTTAATGTCTTAGCGCAGACTCCCCAGCCGTGTCTACATCTTCAGTCGACCGTGAATGGACGGACATCATTTCTGCTTTCTGGATCAAACAAATCACAACGTGGGCAGGAAGCAGGATTAAACCAGCGGATCGGTCGAATAATCTACGGAAGCTCAGGGGACTTACGGCCACTCCCTTGAGTTCGGTTAGGACCGAGTAGACACCTCAACCCCGAGATATAGACGCCGGAGGTTGAGGGGCCGGGGCGAAAGTGATAGATAGATAGATAGATAGATAGATAGATAGATAGATAGATAGATAGATAGATAGATAGATAGATTCAATTTCTCAGCCCTTTACAGGTTTTTTAATGTCAAAAGATCTTTTTTTTAGATTGTAATTTTTTTTAGATAATAATGATTTAGTGATACAAATCTTACTAATTAACCCATAGTTGCGGGAAGAGAGGTGGGTTCATAACTTTCCCAACAGTATTTGGACGTAAGTGTATATAACGACGCAATTGGGATTGGAACTCAGCTCTACGTTTAACAATAGCCATTACCCATCACACCAACCGCACATCCAAGCTTACAGTATCTAGTATTCCCAAGCGGTCACCCATCTCGGTATTGACCAGATTCGGTGATCGTACGGAAACCGGTGTTTCAACGCAATGTGTTCCTAAGCCAAGATAGATAGATAGATAGATAACGAACAGAAGATAGATAGATAGATAGATAGATAACGAACAGATAGATAGATAGATAGATAGATGTTAAGCCGTTGTTTGCTGCTAGTGAAAATCTCTCACTACATTGGTTCTGGTGACTAATAGCCTCTCTGTAAGAGCGTATTATATAAGGGTAAGTCCCCAATCCTTCCTCTATTTAATCTGTTTGAATTGTTATCGTCTGCCAATAAAACAGAACGGTTTAACCGCAAATTCTCTTCCAATTCTACTCTCTACTGCGTGATATGCATGTAACTCCGTCTATGTTTTCCGCTTTTATCTCCAATCTTCATCCCTACAAAGCATGTAAATGATGGTATCCCTGCAATTGTTCTTAAGAAATGTGCCCCTGAAGTGGCTCCTGTTCTGGAAAAGACCTACTTTACTGCTTCTCCAGATTGCTGGAAATCAATTGTAACCATATCGGTTCTGACCTGACATCTTCAGTTACTTTCCCACAACTTTACCTCACCTATAAATATTTTCATGGCAATTGTTCTGGTGAGCTTTCATCTTTGGTACCTCGACTTTACGAATTTAAGTGCAGTACTAGATTGGTAGTTAGGTCTCATGGTTTTATTGTTGAAATTGCTAATTGTAACCGTAAGTTCTATTCTAATAGTTCCTTTTCTCCAACTTCTGGTTTGTGGAACTCTCTTCCAGCTTCTTGCTTTCTACGATCTTCAAAAAATAAAATGCAATGTCAGTCGTCGTCATCTGTCTCTTTAACTACTGTTCTTTTATTGTCCTATCTATTTCTTTCACTGCCGGCACCTCCATGCTAGTGAAACAATTTTAGTAATAGTTTGATATGTATCGACTCATAGACAGGCGGATAGATCGTGTTGGATTTATATCTCACTAACGTATACAAATGTAATGTGATCCGTGTGTCATCATGTACTTGTGTGTGTATATGTGCGTGCATAATTATGTGTGTGTGTAACGGTAGAGTAATGGATAGCGTTTCGGATTGAGGAATCGGAGAGCCGAGTTCGAATTCCAGTCGAATTCATTACATTCACTTACGTGCTAATACCCTTGGGAAAGGTATGAATCCTCTTCTTCTTCCCCCCCCCCAAGCTATGGGTAAATAGCAGGACAGACCGGGTTCTATAGCCTTGGATGGCAACTGGTCTACCGCAGAAAGAAATGGCAACCTACTGTGGGAAAAAATCTGCCTCGTCAGTCATATATTGAAAGATACATGATAGCCTAAGTATGTATCACGCATGGCACATGTGGAATTGCATACGTGTCCCTGAAGTGGCTCCTGTTCTCGCAAATATATATCTCACAGCGTGTGTGTGTGAATAAGTTCTTTACAGGTTAAAGATACCCTGAATGCGACTGTGAGAAAAACTTTGCGGCTAAAAGTAGGTAAAATCACAGAAGTTCTTATAATATTAATATTAATAATAATAATTACACATGATAATAACCTGGTTCAACGTTGCTTAACTTATTGCAGTCGTTATTTATTCAACGCGTGATCCATAATTTAGTTCCAAGTGCAACCTACGCCTCAAATTTTCTATTCGCCCTGTCGTCATATAGGCGCGACCATCAACACAAGTTGGGGAAGTTGGCCGGTTGAGCGACCTTGTCAACGATGCGTGTCGGCAAAAATGATTTCGAAATTGAACTGAGCTTAATCAGGCGGTGAATTGAATGGCAATATAAAAGGTTGTTGGAAAAGCAACCAAGGGGAACGATTTATTTGTATTTATTATTATTATTATTAATAATAATAATAATAATATTATTTTTTATTTATTTATGTATTTATTTATTTATTTTTAGTCGGCCGTCAGCTTGTCATCACAGTCATGTCTGTATCGTATGAGTGACGCTAAATGCTTATGGCAGATAAGGGAAAAGGAGATGGAATAAAAGGTAAAAGAAAGAAAAAGAAGCGATGTCAATCGGTTATTGAGACTGTAAGTAAAGGTCGAAAGGTTAAGTTGAAAAAGAAGAAAAACTGAAGTGAGAGGGACGAAAAGAAAAGTAGAAGGGAGAAAGAGAAAGATAGAGAAAGAATAGAACCAGTCAAATGTACAAAAAAGAAAGAAAGAAAGAAAGAAAGAAGCAGAATAAAAAAGAAATAGTAAGAAAGAAAACTGAAATGGATACACATGCTTGTCGGGTAGTGAGGGCTTCACAAATAATTGACTGTCCAGCTCTTTAAGGTTCAAAGTTCGTCTCTAGGTAAAGTGGTAAAAGGGACAACGTCTTTATTTAGATTTAGGGATTTTCAGTCAAAGGAATGCACGCAAAACTTCACAATTATGTGAAGTGTTCTTTCTGACAGTTTTTTTCCCATGCAATATTCAAGTATTTTTAATAAATATAAATAAACAAGAGCAGTTGAAAATCTTAAACTGAAAAGATAGCAGATCATTTTATTTTTATTTTTATTTATTTTATATTTATTTATATTTATATTTTTTTTATTCATAGCTAATTTTTTTTCTTCTGGACTGGGAAGAACTTTTATTGAGATAAGTGCTAGATTTATTTAAAAGCGAGGAGGAAAATTTAAGAAGAAACAAAGAATGAAAGAGGAAAGAAAGAACATAGTGAAAGAAACGAAATAGATAGATAGATAGATAGATAGATAGATAGTGCAAAAAGAAAGAAAAATGAAGGCGAAGAAAAAGGAAGTTAAATAAATCATGAAAGAAAGATAAGGAAAGACAATATTGAAAGAAATAAGATAGTGGAATAAAGAAAGAAGAAGCAGATAGATAGATAGTGCAAGAGAAAAAAGAAAGAAATGTATGAAAAAAAGAAGGAAAAAGGAAGAAATGTATGAAAGAAAGAAGGAAAAGAAAGAATGAAAAAGGAAGAAGGAATAAAGAAAGGACAAAAGAAAAAGGAAAAAAGAAAGAAGGACAAAAGAAGAAGGAAGAAAGAAGGACAGAAGAAAGAAAAAGGAAGAAGGAAAAAAGAAAGAAAGAAAAAGGAAGAAGGACAAAAGAAGAAGGAAAAATGAAGAAGGAAAAAAGAAAGAAGAAAAAAAAAGAAAGAAAAAAGGAAGAGGGATAAGGAAAAAAGAAAGTACAAAAGAAAGAAAAAGGAAGAAGAAGGACAAAAGAAGAAAGAAAGAAGGACAAATGAAGGAAAAGGGAAGAAGCACAAAAGAAGAAGGAAAAAAGGAAGAAGGAAAAAAGAAAGAATGAAAAAAGAAGGAAAAAGGAAGAAGCACAAAAGAAGAAGGAAAAAAGAAGAAGGAAAAAAGAAAGAAGGACAAAAGAAAGGACAAAAGAAGAAGGAAAAAGGAAGAAGGAAAAAAGAAAGAAGGAAAAAAGAAAGAAGGAAAAAGGAAAGAAGGACAAAAGAAGAAAGAAAAAAGAAAGAAGAAAGAAGGAAAAAGTTAAGAAAGAAAAAAGAAAGAAGGAAGAAAACAGTTTTAGAAAGAAAGAAAAATTAATAAAAAATAAGCTGAAATTCAAAGAAAAGGGCGGTGAAGCAAAGAAAAGATACATTAAAATTGGTTATAACGAATGATGAACGGAAAAAGGAGTGTGGAACAAAAGTAGGTAAAGCTGAATGGATATGACGGAGCAGAACAGGAGTAGAAGGGAGGAAATGTGGACGGTTCAGGATCATTAACCAGCATGAACCAAAAATGTCATTTTTGCCGTCGGTCCGCTGTCATCAAAGAGCGGTTCAGTGGAAGTGGATAAGCGGACTCTTACCCCCGCGTCCTCTATCCACACCTACACATGCTTCTTCCCAACCCAACCCAGATAATAGCAGGTTGTAAACTGTAATGAAGCGTGGCCGTTAACGGGTAATCGGTGGGTGGGCACGAAGAAGGGGGAAGAAGAAATTAGGATGGGACCAAGAAAGAAGAAAAATAAAAGATTGTTTGTGAAAAAAAAACCAAGAAAGGCTTTTGAAAAAGTGTAGAAGTCGAAGGAAATAAAAGAAAGAAAGAAAGAAAGAAAGGAAGGAAGGAAGGAAGGAAGGGAGAATGTGGGAAAGAAAGAAAGAAAGAAAGAAAGAAAGAAAGAAAGAAAAAAAGAAAGAAAGAAGTATGTGGGAAACAAAGAAACAAGCAAACAAACAAGCAAACATAGAAGAAAATAAGAAAAAAAGGAAGAATGTGGGAAAGAAAGAAACAAAAATAGAACAACAAAGAAAATAAAAAAGATAAAAAAGATTAAGTGAAATTAAAAATAAAAGAAAATAAAAAAGACGGAAACGACAAAACAAAACGAAAAAGACAGAAAATAGAACGAAAGAAATAAAGAAAGAAACAAACGAACAAGAAAAGAACAAAAGTATGGACGAAAGTGTAAAAGAAAGAGAAAAAGTGGAAACGGAAAATAAAAGTAGAAAGAGAAAGCAAAGAAAGGAAGAGAGCGATAGATAGAAAGCAAATAAAAAGAGCAAAGAAACGAAGAATTCTGAATCGAATGAGAGAAAATGTAAGATAGATTCAGCCATCACTTTTGTAATCACAGTCATGGATGTATCGCCTGAATGACGCTAAATGCTTGTGATAGAGTAGTTGAAAGGAAAAAGAGGGAAGAATAACAAAAAAGGAAAATATTAAGAAAAAAAGAGTTACTGTTGGAAGCGAGGTCAATCGGTTATTGAAACTGCACGCAAAGGTCAAAAGGGTAACTTGAAAAAGGAGAGCGGGAAAAGAATTGGACGAGAATAGATTGCAAATAAATGATTGGGAGAGACGAAATTAAAAAAGAAAAGAAAAATGTATTGGAAGAGAGAAAGAGAGATAGGAAAGTGTGTTGGAAGGGAGGGAGGAAGAAAAAACGAAATTGTGTTGGAAGAGAGAAAGAAAGAAAAGAGGAAAGTGTGGTGAGAGAGAGAGAAAAAGGAAAAAAGAAATTGTGTCAGAAGTGAGACAGAAAGAAAAGAGGAAACTGTGTTGGTGGAGAGAGAGAGAAAGGAAAAAAGAAATTGTGTTAGAAGTGAGAAAGAAAGAAAAAAGAAATTGTATTGAAAGAGAGAAAGGAAGAAAAAGGAATCGGATTGAAGAAAAGGAGGAGAAATAAATGAAAGATGAAAAAGATTGTGTTGCCTATCCTGAAAAATCAGCATTTATATAGATTTTACCTGGGCTCGAACAAAGGGACTCACTATGGCATCAGCGCGGATAGTATAACGATTATAGTCGCAGGAAGTGGAATCGTCGAGTCGTGTGAAAATTTCTGGTCTGTTGCGCTTACTTTCGCAAAATACCTACGGATGAGGCATGAATCCATATCTTCACCCCACCACACACTTAGCTAAAGATTTATACGCTATAATATATATATATATATATATATATATATATATATATATATATATATATATATATATTACATTACATTTTTAAAAAACGCAAAGTAGCCAAGCTTTTTAGTTAATTTCCGTAAAGTATGTCTATCCTGTGGCATTGGTAATGGTATCTGTTGTGAGAGCCGAGTTCGAATTCCAGTCAAGTTCATTACATTCGCTTGCACACCAATACCCTTGGGAAAGGTATGAATCTGTTATGGTGAAACACAGTTATTCTATAGTTAATAGACTCTCCCACCTATAATAAGTAGGAGTCGGGCAGTCAGTCGATGTCGGACGACAGTTAGTCGAATACGAATGTATCAGCGACCACGACCAGATTACTCTGCGTTATATCAAGTTCCTAACGTTTTGTACGTCGAACCTATCTTAGGACCGACTTAGTACAAAATACAAACCTCCACTGTGAAATCACTCCACAACAGAATCCATTCTTTTCCCCTCAGCTATGGGCTCAATAGCAGGACAGACTGGGATCTTTAGCCTTGGTTGGCAACCAGTCTACGACAGAAAGAAATGACAACTACTGCTGGAAAAATCTGCCTCGTCAGTCATGTATGGAAAGATACATGATCACCCAAGCGTGTATCACGTATGACACTTAACTGGCTGACTGGGTGATTGCTAGGTCATCTGCATAGTCAATATCTGTCAACTTTACTGAATCTAAAATTGAATTTATAGCGTTCAAGCAGCAAGGCTGAATACAAACTTTCTGTCGAAACTTTAACATACCTAGGAAGCGAGATGAATTTTACTGAAAAGGATGTGAAAATTCGCATAGCTAAATCCTGGACTGCCTTGAATGAAGTGGACGTAATCTGAAAATCTGATCTACCAGACAACTTCAAACGGAGATTCTTTTGAGGAACTGTAGAGGCGATGTTAATGTATGGTGCCACTGCCTGGACATTAAATAAAATGCTAGCGTCTAAGCTTGATAACCTACTCTCAGATGCTCGGATCCTGACAGCTATACTTAACCTCTCTTGGATACAACATCCAGCTAAATCACAGCTCTATGGATCCATCCCTGATATTTCTACAATCTTACGCAGACGCAGAGTGCGCTTTGCAGGACACTGCTGGCGAGCAAAACAAGAACTCGCGAGTGATCTACTGTTCTGGACACTTAGACATGGCGCAAGACAGACTGGTCACCCAGTAAGCACCTACATTCACCAGCTACGTTATGAAACAGAATGCCACCTAATGACCTTCCAATCCTTGATGCAGGACCGTGATGGTTGGCGTCATAGACTGATGAATGTCCGAGCTAGCTCGATCAAATGAATAAAAATGTCTGTCTTGTTCGTTAGCTATGGAGATTATTTGTAAATTATCTTGTCATTTATCTAACTATGACTGCTCTTTGGGAAAACTGCTTCATTTCGAAGTATTTTATTTTATTTAATAAAGTGTTATAAGAATATTTTGGAAAGTTATTTCTAAAAAGTTGTTTAATTCGGCAAGGTGAAAATTCTCACAATGACTTTGCACTTTGCTTCCCCTTCCACACACACAGGTATTAATATTGCCTCACAAGTTCACCTGCCCCACCCAAATTCTGATTGCGCGGAACAGGGCCGGGAGGGTACTAAACCCGAACACCCTCAACCGGTTGAAAGTCTGATTGAGGCTCCAGACAGTGCTTTGTGAGCTTCGCTATCTTACCAACATTTGCTTTTTCTACCTACATTTTTTCATTACAAATTAAGTTAAGCACAACTGACTATTAAAGGATGAACAATTTTCGCAGATTTTAACGTCATTCCGGGTTCTTTTTTGTCACATTCGTGTATTTGTTTTATTCATGCTATATAAAATTCACTATATTTTATCCATAATGTTGAATGTGTTAAATTATTCAACTTTTCAACAAGAAAAATCTCAAGTTTATATTCAAAATTGCCACAAAACATTGCTTTAAGATGGATCTCGATAATTTGTATTTAGATATATTATATTTGCCCTGTCACGGTGGTGTTGGGTCCTAGAGAGATTGGTCACCTGATGTTAGCAGGGTCGCTCATTGGTTAATAAAACCATGCTGGTTTAGAAAAAGCTGACCACCACCAGAGAAGGGACCGGACCTTCTCCGAAGCAACACACAAAAACTTATCTCCACCGCCAACGGTGCCAGTTACCGAGGGTTTTAAAGGTACAAGTTATCTAACCCTATTTCACTCCACCAGATGGGTAAGTTTGCCTGAAATATTCTTTATATATAGGAAAGGACCTTGTGTTTATGTTAACCGTTGTATTCATGTTTAGGTGAAAATAAATATCTTTATTACATGTTGATAAAGTATTCTTCTTATTCGTGTTAGTCCCAAAGTAAAGTGGGATTAGCACAATAATGGGTTCTTCAAATTTATCCGCTGTCGCCCCTACTTTATGCTTTACCGTTGGGGCCTCTCTTTCGCCGGCCGAGGGACAGGGCGTGCAGTCCGGCCCTGTGAGTGATCAGCGTATCTGGTGGAGTCAGTGTTTCCGCGTACGCCGAATACGTATCCATTTTCGTGTTGGGCCGCAGCGACATTGAGGTGATACAGAAGGCGCTTGAATGGTACGAGAAGGTCAAGATTAGCTGCAACAAGTCTTCTGGCTTGCAGTTAGGTGCTTGAAAAGCCGTTTCTCTTCCGGATCCCTTCAGTTGAACTCACGGTCTTGTCTGCGTTCTTGGAGTGTGCTTCGGACCGAAGTTACAGTTGGAGAAGAATTGGTCGGAGGTACAGGAAAGGTAAGATCGTCGGTCCGGACATGACTCTAAAGGTGGTTAAAGGATAGTTCTGTAGTGTGTTCCGTATACATCTTTCTACTCATCTTTTACAGGTTGTCAGTACTTCCTCTCTGCAAAAACCGTAGGTAGGCGATCAAGCTCTTGCACTTCTCGCTCTTATGGGGTGGAGACAAGCCATATGTCCGCAGAGCCGCCTGTGTCCAGCGTCCGTGTCATGGAGTGCTGGGAATACTACACTTGGTGAGTCATCGTCACGCTTCGAGCTTGGTTTCACTATGTTGCGCGTTGACTGAAGATTCACTTAGCTTTAACATAACTCCTCTCATTTCTGGGGTTGAGAGCCGTCGTAAACCCCGGAATCATTCCGAGTTCTTCACCTTGCATGCTACTCCTCGGTCCATTGACATTTCATGGCCTAGAAGTGCATGG